GTGTGGGGTCCCTCCCAGGGGAGTGGGGCCCGGGGAGAGGGGGTCCCGTGTCCGTGGGCTCAGCCTGTGAGTGTCATTCTAGTCTCCAGGGGCAGGCAAGGCACCTGCTGCCGGAGGAAGACGGGAACGCGGGGCTGGGAGCCACGGGCTGGCCAGGGAGTGACCGGCTGTTTGCCCTTCATCTGCCCTGTGGGGAGGGGCCGGACAGGGGCCATTTCAAACTCCCGGGAGGACAGTCCCACCACGCTCGGGTGCCTGGAGACTCCAGTGAGGGCGGGTGTGGGGTTTGGGACACACGGAGGAACAGCAAAATAGACCAGCAAAGGGACTGTCCCATCAGGCCTCCGGCAAGCCCACGCCTCGGCCAGGGCGCCCCCCCCCCATCTCCTGGGCCCCAGCCGGCCTGACTCCACTCGAATGAGACAGAAGAGACCCGTCCGGGGCGCCAGGCACCCCAAGACCCCACCTCACATGCATTTCAGATGGGAAACCGCAGGGCCTCCTGGGAAGAGCTGGCTGCCGTGTGCTGTGGCTGGAGCGGACCTCAGGGGCCAGGGGGCCAGGAGCCCAGGTCTTCCTGCCCCAGCCCCCGGCGTGCGTGTGTGCACGCGTGTGTGGGTGCGTGCACGTGTGTGTGTGTGTGTGTGTGTGTGTGTGTGTGTGTGAGTGCCTATGGGCTTGGCCGTGAACCACAGGTGCTAGGCAGCTGTCATGCAGCTCAAAGGCGGAGGAGGCTCTCCTGTGTCTTACCCTGTGCTTGGTGGGAGCTGCCCCTGGGCTCCCCCAGGGTCCTGCAGGGGGACCGTCCCCCAGGGGCAGCCCTCCCCCCTCTGGAGGCAGCTTGGCAGGAAAAAGGGGGGCTGGGTGTTGAGGCCCGTGGGTCTCATGGGACAGTCTGGGTGCCTGACAAGGCCACCGACCCGGGTGGCAGCAGCCAGGCTGTGGGAGGGGCCGGGGGTGCTGGGAGCTGTCTGGCACCCCGTCCCCTGCTCCGTGTTGGTGTGAGAGCTCCGTGCTGGCCTGGCCGGGCCCCGTTCGCCTGTGTGATACGCTATGTATTTGCTTTTTTGGAATCAATAAATCGCTGGCATTTCTGCGACCTTTCCAAGCAGTGGATTATTTGGGGGGGCCGCTGAAGAGCCTTCCAGGGCGCCCTCTTACTGACCCCGAGCCAGGCAAGGACCCAGAGTGCCCCTGTAGGGACAGGGATACCACCCCCCAACACCTGCTCCGTGTCCGGGGTCCACAGGCCCCCCGGGAGGCTGGTATCACCCCAACCTTCCAGACGAGGGAGCGGGGCCCAGGGAGGGAGCAGCATGCCCCGCGTCACACAGCCAGTGACCGTGCAGGGCGCCCGCGGGAAAACAAGCTTCCAGGGTCGAAGGCACCCCAGTTCCTAAACGAGGACACGGGGACCCAGAGGCAGGAAGTGATCTGCCCAGTCCTGGCTGGGGTGGCTCCGTGGATAGAGCCTGGGCCTGCGGACCGGACCGAAGGGTCCCGGGTTCGATTCCCGGCCAGGGCGCCTGTCCAGGTTTCCTGGCTCGATCGCCAGTAGGGGGCGCGCAGGAGGCAGCCGGTCAGAGATTCTCTCTCATCATGGATGTTTCTATCTCTCTCTCCCTCTCCCTTCCTCTCTGAAATCCATAAAAATAAACAAAAAGTTCTAATATCTTTTTAAAAAAGAAAGAAAAAACGCCGGCCAGCTCCCACTTTTCTGCAGCGAGAATTCTCAGCAGTCGCCCCTCCCCCAGGCTGGCCCCGCCCCCGGGCTGGCCCCGCCCCCTCGCTGCCTCTCTCCT